GTGAAATGAAATAATTCTTTTTTAGGTTTTATAACCTAAAATTTAATTTATTATATTATTAAATAATTGTTTTAAAATACAAGGATCATTAAAAATATTTTTTATGTTAACTACTTAATTTCTAAAATTGAAAACAAAAATAAGGATATCTATGAGCCAGGAAACTTGAATTAACCTTCTCAACACACGCACACACACACACACACACACATTTGAAATAGCCAAAAAAATCATAAATTACTATATTGATACCATAGAATTGCACTATAATTTCTCAAGATTAGTAACTAAGCTGTATTTGGCTCTAAAAAAATATGAAATTTCGAGCAGACTAAAGATTCAACTTACCACCTTGCAGTCTTGTATCGAAAGAAGGAGCTGATGTCATAATACTTGAAAATTTCTGAGAAAGCCACTAGTAAGATATTCTGAGCTTTGATTGGTTATTCACATGTTATAGACAGAAGTAATTGTATATGAGGAAGTGTTTCCAAAAATGGAAGGAGGTGGGCAGGGCCCACTGTGTTTGAGTCAGTACATGTCCGATATCTCAGCAAATAGAAAGCATAGGAGGTTCTTCTTTTATATTCTAGCTTGTCGATATCAGTAACTTGAGTTCCTAATTTGTAAGAAACTACAGACTTTGTATTTGGACATCATAAACATCTAATCTGAACCAGTGCTGCATTCAACATACCACATGACACACAAAAAAAAAAATCGATGTTTAGGTATGTTTTTAATATTTACTTTAAATCAAGATATTAAATAATGTATAATACTAAATCTTGAATTATGATATAAAATTTGATACCAAACTTATTGACATAGATACATAAAATAGTAGTTAAAAAAAATTTTGAATGCGAGTCAACAAACAAGATGACATGGCCTTTGACCCATGATCCATGTGGAGAGGGTTAAAAAACCTATAACAACTACAAGATTCATTACTACAGATTATTTGCATGATAAATTTAACAAAAAAAACAAAATTAATATTAAATAATTTGTTTTAAAAATACAAGGATCATTAAAAATATTTTTTATGTTAACTACTTAATTTCTAAAATTGAAAACAAAAATAAGGATATCTATGAGCCAGGAAACTTGAATTAACCTTCTCAAGTGAATAAAAGATTTATCATTCAAACTGCTTACATCATACATAAATTCTTAGAAAAGAATACAAACTTTACGGGTATTTTTAATATATTTATGATCTATAGCTAAAAAGATGTCATTTCCTAAACTACATTTGACCCCTAAATAAATGCAATAACTTTGTTTTAGCAACATATTTTGAATTTTTCAACCATCCTTTGAATACAAATTCACACCTGTTCTCTCTTAGAACTAGTTTGCTTTTTTATGAATCAGATTTTAAATATACATCTTCAATTACTTAAACACATTCTAATACACATACCATACAATAAAACTTGTTTCTCTCAAATTCAACCCAGATATTATACAGAAATAATATTAATAACATTAACATTTTCCCAAACTAAACTGAAAATATATTTCCAATAGATACTCACCTCTTCTCAAAAAATGTTACTTGACTGATACTGCCTTCTATTGGCACAAATTTTTGCTCGCCAGTAGTCCTGATACTCTCACTTATTTCTGCATACTAACATGCAAATGATTGTGCAGCAACCCTCCACCAATAGGTGTACAACACTACCCCTATCATACCTGGCACCCTCTTTAATATTGCAGCTGTTAACCACTTTGAGATTGGTCAAATCACACCAAACCACACAGAGGTGGGGAGGATGGGTGGGAAATGTGAGTAGAGGTAAGTATCTATTGGAAATACATTGTCAGTTTAGCATAGAAAAATGTTAACTTCCTATACCATATCTTACCTCCTCTCACAAAAAACTAGAATCCCACATTGAACCATTGAAGGACTGGTAGGAAGATGCTCCCCCTTTAGGAAGCACCCAAAGGAAAACCATGGGGTGTGAGAAGGAATTAAAAACAACATACCCATGGAAGACCGCATCACTTCTGAGCCAGGTATACTCTTTGCCCTTTAGTAACGTGTCATCATAGAGGGCAGAAACATGGAGGGAACCAAAGAAAAAATTGGACCCACTTGTGTAGAGTGGCTATGGCATGACAAACCATAAATAGGAGTCGACCTCAACCAACACCTGGCAGCATCTGAAATTGTAAATCAGGTCCATGGTAGGAAGAGGAACTTCTGCCTTTCACCTAAAAATCAGGTACTGGCAGGGAAGAGGAGCTACCATACTAAAAATCCACTTCTGCATGCAAACATCTCCAACATAACCAACACCAGATCCTTTGGGAACCAACATCCAGCAGATGGTAGGAAGGTGGAGAGCCAAGGTGGGTGTTTTTCTCCGGTTCAAAACCTGGTGGCATTGGGAATTCTTCATCCAATCTGCAGTAGGAGTAGGGTACCCAGTTTTACACATGCAGGAATTCATGTGTCTCATCCAGCTACAACCAACATCACCTCCACCAGAAATTCACATCCAATAGATGATAGGAAGAGGGACCACTATATGGAGTTGCATCTCTAGTCCAAAACCTGGCAGCATTGGGAATTTATCATCCAGTCCACAGTAGGATGAGGGTACCATCCAAACATGTGAAGACTTATGTGGCTGGTCCAACTTCAACCAAATTCCAATCCCCAGGAACAAACATCTAGCAGATGGTAGGAAGAATGGTGCCTCAGCCAGAGGAGCAAACTACAGTATATGGCAGAGTGCTACATACAACACCTTGTTGCATCTGGAATTATACATCAGGTTCAACGTAGGAAGAATGTCACACCATCTACACCAGCAAAATGAGTGATTTGGTACACACTCAGGAGGACAAGCCTCCATGGTCCACCACCCCAGCAGCTATGAACTGGTAAGTGGCAAGGATTCCCTTACTCCATTAGAAGGAGGAGAAAAAAAAATGCATTAGAGAGTCTGGAGGGACCACAACACAGGAGACAATGCAATGGGTGACCATGATACACTATTCTGAAAAGCAGAGAAATCATGTTGACAGAGTAAATCAACCAACACCTGGCAGCATCTGAAATTGTACATCAAGTCCACAGTAAAAGGAGCCTCAATGCCACAGATCATCAGAAATGGGCATTAATCCCTATCTGTTTAATTTGTGTTAGTCCATGAGTGTACTATTTGGGAATACCTACAAATGGTTTTGCGAAACAACTCCATCTCAACAGTGTGTGTAACATGACCTTGTGACATGTTATGATATTGTATTTTGATACATAGAGGTCACACTGATAGAGTCAATCAACCAACTGGTGGTGGCATCTGGAATTGTACATCAGGTCTGCAGTAGGAAGAGCCTCAACATTACTCTAGCATGGTATGTGATCACAGGTCAAAAAGTGTCAAATGAATACTAAGTGTACCTAGTCAGGTGACATTCGCCACAGAGCGGGATCCATATATGCAATAAAGGCCCCTGCAAACAAAAAGAAAATTAATGGAGTACTTACCACCCACAAATAAACAATTATAGCACTGATGATCACCCCCAAAGGAAAATGGAAATCTACAGCCAGAGACATGGGAAGATGACAGATCTGATGGGAAGAAAAACATGAAAAAGGTGACAATTATCAGGAGAAAGGGAAGAAAAATGCCAAGCGAATTAACTGGTGAATTCAATCTGGAAGAGTAACAGAAAAAATGTCACAGGAGAGGTGAGGATTTCAGGGAAAAAATAAACAGACTAAGGAAGCATGGAAGGGAGAAGTATGATGTGTTATACACCATCAAGGAGCCCTGACCGAACAAAGACGGCAGATGGGATTGGAAAGGTCATAAAGGTGGGAAAAAGAGGAAACGGAAGAAATGTGAAGAGAGAAATACCCTCACAAGCAGCTGAAATCTTGAGCTTAAAGGAATGATCAGGAACAGGGACTTTAAGGAAAAGTAATTTAAAGAACACACATACAAAGGATCCAATGGAGGATGGGGAAAAACATAGACCACATAGAGGTGCTAATCTGAAAGGGAAAGAACAAAACATCAGGGATAAAACTGGCAACTGGAAAACACAAGCAAAGTCAGAAAACCAAAAAAGTGGCAGATAACATCACCTTATAGCCCACAACAGAAGAAACCAAAAGGCCCTGCTCAAAAAGACAAGTCAAAAAGGATGATGAGTAAAGAAGAATGTTTTTGGGTTTGAATAACCGATCCATGACCAGATTCAGGGTACCTGAATGATGACATGGCATCCAAGTGATGGGACAATAGTGGGCCCAACACAGAAGACCCAATGTGAAAAAAACAGAGGTCTATCAATCAAGTGCCCCTTGCCCCGTGAATATGATACAACCATATAAACTTCAGAGTGAACCATCACCAACCGGCCTTAAGGAGCCTGCAGGAAATGAATGAAAGCTCAACGAAAAGTAAGAAGTTCCAAGATTGATATGGAGAGAGAACTTGGAAAGATACCATAGCCATGAAACCACCTGAGTGTCGAGACACACCCCACACACATATATACCATAAAAAGAAGCATTCATAAAAGGTGACATTTCTGACAAGGAGGAGGAAGAGGAACACCATTGGTAGTATTGTTTTGATCCAGCCACCAGTCGAAATTAGTCTGTAAGGGAAGGGGCAGGGTAAGAGGGGCTTCTAAGGGATCATGAACAAGGTTCCATTGGTCTATCAAAACCCAGTGACAATGATGCATGAGGGCATGACCAAGAGGAATGAGGGCTTTGAGAGAAACCCATGTTCCCAAAAGAGAGAAACTTCTCACCCAGTAGGAGAAGGAGAGGATGAGATGCTGCACAGGAGACATTCCATAGCTTGCAATTAAAGTGGAGCAGGTGGGCCCAAGGGATGTGGAAGTTAAAAAACACCACGAGATGAACCAAAAATTGTATGAGTGTGAGAACAAATTGACCGTTTGTGACAAACCAATCCACCATGACAGTGTCCTGGAAAAAAAAACTGCGGATGTGGGACTGAGTCATCTTGTGAGGAGGCAAGAAACAGCCATACATCCAAGGAGGAGGGTAGGAAAAGGTATTGGGAGACAATGGGAGATGAATGAAAGTAAAGGACCAAACTTACTGAAACGACTTTCATAACCCATTAATCAACCACCAAAAACCTCCAAACGTTGGCAAAGTGAAGAAGTCTGGCCTCCACCAGCCCTGACCTGAGAAGGGTGGCTGAAGTAAGACAAATGGGAAAATGTAATTGAATACTCGGGGTCTGATCCTCAATAAGGGAGAAGAGACACCAATGTTGTGAGTCTCAATAAAGGAAGTATGAACAATGATATTCAAAAACATGATCATCCACAGTACATGGGGATCAAGGCATACTACCCACAAATGCTCCCCAAAATGACTCACAAGAATCCCAATATCCAGGGAAGGAGGAAACACAAATAATGACCAAAAGGCTAGTCCCCAAAAAGAACAGGAGTAGAATTTAGGAATGGGAGATAAGGATAGAACATAACATACCTGAATAATCAAGTCCACCAAAGAGGAAAGAGGTCTGGGCAAATCCCTAAAAAAAGGACCCACAACTGAGAGGCATATTCAGGAAATGGGAAAAAGCTGTCCAAATCCAAAACTTCTCGATCATTAAAACTGTGATACAACAGTCATCAGTATGTTCTGTTTGTTACATGAAATTGGTTAACTCCTGATGAACCAGACCCGTCACTTCATGGGCCAAGAATCATTGGATGTGGTTGGTAATTAAAGTAGAAAAATTAAGAAAGTAAAAACTTATGGATAAGTGAATCAAACCACGAGCAAAAACATGTCTGTTCAATAAGATTGCAAATTGAGAAGTGGTTAACAGCTGCAAGATTAGAGAAGGCATCAGTTACGATAGGGGTAGTATCACACCCCTAATGGTGGATGGTTGCTGCATAACCATTTGCATGTTAGTATGCAGAAATAAGTGGGAGTATCAAGGCTAGTGGCAAGTGTAAGATAGCATATTGGAATTTTATTTCATCCATAGTTCAAAGCTTTTTGCTTTATTTCAATGTTTGTAATATGTAACCTCTCCACTAGCATTGATTTTAAAATAAGAGTTGAGACTTAGTTCTAATTAAACACAACATATATACATACCTCATGCTGTGCTTGCAGTTCTAGTATTTCCTTCTCATGATGACATCTTTTGATTGGATTTAAAACATTATCCAAAAAGGCAATCATGTAGTGCTTAACCAGCAGACCCTTATAATATATATTTGTGGAATGTCGCACATAGACGATAAAGACGGGATAAGAGTCTGGTTGAAGTTTTTGTCGACATTCACCTTCTGGCCACCAACAGTTCACAGCAGCAAAAAATATCTAGATACAACACAATAATCTTATTTTTTATTCCAATTATGGATTTTAAGCAAAATATGACAGAAGTAAAGGATTTAATCTAACTTTAAAGCATAAAAAAATTAAAAAATTACCATTATAAACTAGAATCATAGCAACTCTAAAACTAAAACTTAGTTGTAGATAAAATATTTAAATCATCATGTGTACCTTTAATAATGCTTACTTGAAAGATAAGCATTTCTAATAATACAAGTATTAGAAAGCTAAGATTGTAACAATGCTACAGACATATTTAAGAAGTAATACATTCTCAAGCAGATTCTAGTCTTCCTAGATTCCAGTGATCATCAATATAAACATTTCTAATAATACAAGAGTTAAAAATCTAACATTTTAATAATGTTACAGATATATTTAAAAAGTAATACATTCTTCAGCACATTCTAGTCATTCCTAGATTCCAGTGATCACAAGCTAAGTTTCTCTTAAAATCTTTCAATGATTCACATATATACACATACCTACAAAACTTCTCCAGTTTACTACATGGAAGAGAGAATAAACCTATCTAACAAAGAGGAAAGACAACCACATGTGTAGCTTTATCATTGCTTCTTCACTTAAACTACTGTTGCATTGGAAATAGCAGGTGGCCAAATAATGAAGATTCTTCTTTTTGACTGTTCAGTTTCCTGAAAAAGCTTACAACAAAGAACCGCAACACTTTTCTCTTTTCAAATATCTAATTACAATTTATATAGCTGAAATGTAAAATTGCAATTCCTATTTTGAGATTAATTATAAACTGTTGTATAACAGTCAGGATCTAAGAAATAAATGATTTAATCTAACAAATTTCTAAAATTTAAATATTTACAAGTATCAAATTTATAGATAACACAAGTTATAATACTCTTCTAGCATAAAATAACATTAACAGGACTTGATTTTAACAGTCTTCCAAGAAGACTAAAAACTTCCTCGAACAACAAACATAAAACCATGTTGTCCAACGGGCAACTAGTGCCCTGGAACAAACCCTTACTCAAAACAGCATCGCAGTCTACTGTACAGTTATGCATGCCTGCAATACACACATAATGTTAACTCCAGTCCTCAACTAAAATCTTAAATTTCTTAAATACAAACTCTAAAATTTGAATGCTCACAAAAATATCTTTTGCACCATTTTTTTTGTTTATAAAAGATTGTACTTTGTACAAGAGAAATGTTAGTACAATACACCAAAAGAGGTTGAAAACAGGAAATATTAAATATTGTGGTCAGCTAATAATGCTATTTTAGTCACTAAACTTTCTATCGTAAACAAGCTATATATAACAGCTCTTACAGTAAGTAAGGTTTAATTTTAAAACAGATATGATGTTTCAATCACTTGTGCGATCATTCTCAATATACAAGTTTTAACAGTGAAGAAAGTTTAGTATTTAAACCAACATTCAAATAATGTAAAAAAAAATTTAATATATATATATATATACTTAAACTGTAAGTAAACTCACAACAAAACTATTACCACACACATTGTATTGTGCAATATTCTATGTATTTATATATACACATACATATATATATATATATCTTAAGTCATCAAGAAATGGAACACTTTCATTAACCACCTCCCAAAAAAAGGAAAACATCACGTATAATAGTTAAATGAACCATCTAAACATTACATGTAGAGTTTAGTATACTCTAATTCCTTATAGTGAACTGCCTGGATGTCACATTAGTGTAGCTTATATAATGTGTAAAGGGTAGAAATGTGTGTCTCGTTGTGTGCCATCACCATAAGGGATTAGATTATAGGGCATGTAATGCTGTTTGAATACAAGAAGGAAAACAACACCTCTGTAGCCACAAAGAATATAAAAGAAGTTTATGTAAATGTTTTGAGCGTTCGTAAGTGTCAACGATGGTTCAGCAAAGTTCGTTCAGGTGACGTTAGCCTTGAAACCTGTAATGGTAGGGGCCGACATGTTGGAATTGATATTGATGCTCTGGAAACACTTGCTGAGTTTAACCCAAGGTCAACAGACTCGTT